TAGCCAGTCATTTTAACAATTACTATTGGGGGGTGTTAGTTTTCATGGCATGTTATGTTTTATTGTATGGCATGCTATGTTTTATTGTATATACTGTTGTACATCACCTTGATATTTTATGAGTTGGCAGTATATAAATATTTCTATAAATAAAAATGATAAAAGCAATGCAAAGCAACATCATTATTGCACAACATAGCCATCTGCAATGCAGATACTTTGGTTACAATCTTAACACCCAATCACTGATCTATGACAGAATCTCTGTGAAACATGCATCATCATTGCCTCTTGTCTAAGAGAAGGGAAGAGTAGAAAAAAGGTTCCACATATGCAATAAGGAAACTTCTGCTAAGCTTGGACACTTGTGGATCAAAATGAGCACTCCACACAGATCCCTATCCAGCTTCTTAAAAATGACATGGGACTGATCTACTTCCCTCAGTGGACTCAGGCATAACTGCACAAAGGGTCATGGAGTACAGACCACAAGTACATGCATGCCATCAAAGTTTCTGAACACCTACCAAAATAGCTAAAATGTATAAGACAAAAACAAATATGTGCTGGAGGTGTGGTAAAACAGAGGGGACACTTATACATGTGTGGTGGACCTGTGAAAAAAATCAAAAGCTTCTGGAACACTGTGTATGATAAGCTTAACAAAATGTTTAAGTATAACTTTATGAAAAATACAGAAGCTTTTCTACTAGGGATAATGGACACAGGCATAGCAAGACATGATCAGAAAATATTCCTTGATGCCACAGGAGTGGCAAGGATCCTAATTGCTAAAAACTGGAAAAAAGAAACTGTGCCAACAAAAAAGGAATGGCAAGATAAACTTAGAGTATATTGAACTGGCTAGATTAACAGAGGCAATTAGAGATCACACTAGACAAGTTTCAAAAAGCATGGGGGGAATGCAGAGAATACTTCACAAAACAGTGCCCTAAAATACATACCTGGACTTGTTTCGATTAATGTCTGCAGGAGACTTTGTGGATATTTAAGTTATAATTAGAAAAATCTTAATAATTATTCCTAAAGGACACAATTTATAAGAAGTAAATAAGGAGGCCAGATACAGGATAAAGAAAGTCTTTTATTTGGCTGTTTGTATTGTTGTATGTTATGTTCACTGTGGGGTGTGGGTGGGGGGGTTGTGTTATGTTGTAAATAAAATTCCAATTTAAAAAAACAAACTTTCCCCATAAAATATGTAAAATGAATATAGATAATAAAAAGGAATTAAGGCCAAATAGAAATTTTTGAGAGTTTTGATATTTTGTATCTGACAAAGAGAAAGAATGATACCTTGATGTTAGTATTTATTGATTTATCCCCTGCCTTTTTCTCTGACGGAACTCAAGGCAGCTTACAGATAAAAGTAAGAACTGCTAAAAACATAACAATCATTTAAAAAAATGAAACATCAGTAGAATTAAAACTACATACATATATAGAATCTGTTAAAATCGTATCAATAATTACAACACAGCACCAGCTCTTTCATTAAAACAGTCAGTTCACAAAAACATGTTGAAGCAAGGAACTCTTCACCTGCAGGCAGAAATACAACAAGGAGCGAGCCAATGTAGCTTCTCTAAGGAGGGAATTCCAAACTCTGGGAGCAGCCACTGAGAAGGCTTCCCTACCAAGTGCACCTGTGAGGGTGGCAGAACTGAGAGAAGAGCCTCCTCTGAAGTTCTCATATGAACCCAGGAAGGTTCATATGAGGGAATACGGTCTTTCAGATAGCTTGGACCTAGGCCCTGTAGGGCTATAGGTTGTAACCAGCACTTTGAATTGTGCCTGGAAACAGACTGGTAGCCAGCGGAGCTGTTATAGTAAGGGAGACATATGCTTCCTATAACCAACCCTGGGCCCCAATCTGGCTGCAGCTCTAGACATCCAAATGGGATGTAAGTAAGGAGTATATCACTGTGGCCAGTGATCAAGGGGTACAGTTGGCACACAATCTTTAACTGTGCAAATGCACTTCTTGCCCCCACAGAGACCTGGGCATCCAGGCCCAGGGCTAAGTTCAAGAGCACACCGAAACTGCAAACCTGTGTCTTCGAGGAAGTGTTACCCCCATTCAGCACAGCCTGAATCCCTGTTCCCTGTTCCGCCTTCCGAATGACCACTACTGTCTTGTCTGGATTCAGTTTCAATTTGTTCACTGTCACCCAATCCATTACTGATGACAGGCACCATTTTAGAACCAAGATAGCTTTCTTGGATTTAGGTGGAAAGGAGAAATAGAGCTGGGTGTCATCAGCATACTAGTGACACCGAGCCCCCAAACTCTAGAAACCTATCCCAGCAGTTTCATGTAAATGTTAAATAACAGTATAGAACCCTGAGGAACCCTGCAGGTCAACAGCCAAGACATCAAACAGAAGTCCCCCAGCATCACCTTCTGTGTTTGCTGCCCCTCCAGGAAGGGACCCACTGTTGATGAGTGCCTCCAAGTCCCATTCCAGCAAGGCAGATCTAATCAGCCTCCTCCACTCAAACTGAGGTGCCACCACACACTCTAGAACCTTGCCCAAAAATGGGATAAAGCAGATTGGAAAAGTTTTCTTTTTGAAAAACAAAAGTCCTATTATATTTAATGTTACATTTACACTGACAGTTTACCTTAAAATAAGTGTTCTGTGCTCATCTAAAATACAAAATTAATTATAGAGCTCCTACCAAATATATTTCTATTTTTAAAACTCTTTTATGTATATTCTGGGGGGAAAACACCTTTCTTATCAGGACATTCATCCCTCCAGATTTTCCTCAAATGTCTTATTATCTAACAGTGATATCCAATGCATTGCTCACACAAGAGGGCTTCTCCTTTCTCTCCTCCCCCTGCAACCTCTTATAAGCCTCCAATCTGTTTCAGAGGATTGAGACACTCTCCAGAGCAAATACTGGGGGCACACAGAGGCAGTAGGGGGAGAAAAGAAATCAGAAATCCTATTCTGCAAGCAGATGAATATATTGGATGTTGTCCTAAAGTTATGCTTGTTAGAGCTTTTTGTCTCTAAGTGCCTTGTTGAATTGTCTCTCCATCACCTGAGAGAAAATACATTTAACAAAGCTCAAAAGAGAATTGCAATCATAACTTAAGATGGCAACTGCATAGTAACACAAGCCGTGTAACATATCAACCCAGCTTAAATTTATTTTATCTAGCATTCATTTTTCACAGGACAAAAACAATCTGCAACTTTAGAACTGAGCTAACAGGCAAAATGTTCAATACCATCAGCATGACTGAGTAAATATAAAGGTAAAGGGACCCCTGACTGTTAGGTTCAGTTGCGAATGACTCTGGGGTTGCGGCGCTCATCTTGCTTTACTGGCCGAGGGAACCGGCGTACAGCTTCCGGGTCATGTGGCCAGCATGACTAAGCCGCTTCTGGCAAACCAGAGCAGCGCACGGAAACATCGTTTACCTTCCCAGCAGAGCGGTACCTATTTATCTACTTGCACGTGCTTTCGAACGGCTAGGTTGGCAGGAGCAGGGACCGAGCAACAGGAGCTCACCCCATTGCGGGGATTCGAGCCGCTGACCTTCTGATCGGCAAGCCCTAGGCTTTGTGGTTTACACCACAGCGCCACCCACAGGGACACTGCAAATTCATATCCATCGTCCTGAAAACAGATTAATATTCACTGCATAAGGACATAAATCAGGGGTCTCCAAACTTTATGAGCCCAGGACCATTTCACAGAAGAACAGGCAATGGCCAGGACACTCCAAAAGCAGGCCAAACACACCTACATGGACACAGAAACACAAACACACACACACACACACACACACACACACCCCAAAACAAACAAAATGCAGGCCAAAGAAAAAGCAGGCAACTTTCCCCCAAACAAAACAATTATCAGTTTTTAAAAAATTAAATATTAGGCAGGGCAGCGGGTCTTGGCAGGCACCAAGGAAGTATCTGAGGGCACCACAGTCCACACACTTTGGACCCTAGGCTTAAGGATATGTACCCTACATGCATCAGCTCAAGCGCCGCCTAATCCTATAATAGCCATATATGGATTCAGAATGGAAACAAGAATGAATTAGGTAGAGAACTTGCAGTGAGGTGAGAAGTGCCATAAGCATAGTGCTGTTCCTACACTTAAAATTAGGGTCACTGTCATCTGCTTTCCAAGCAGTCCACATTCTGATCTGCCTAGATTACAAAATACTTTCTTCTCCTTGCTTTAATAATGATACAAAAAAGGACAGTGGTGGTGTGTACAGTGTGAAGATATTTCCAAAAACAGCAGGGCACTTGTCGCTCCTCTAGACACTGGACTCCGCAAGTAACTGCAGTATCTCCTGAGTTTACTGACAAAGGTGCATAGCTTATTTAAAGATTAGTAGAAACGCTTGTGAATGTAGTACACAGTCCACTATGCCAAGAAAAGAAGGTGCAAAGCTAATAATATCTATTGGTAATTGTGGATTAATGTGTGCGGAGAATGAAACAGCTGCCATCAGACTGAACTCTACCCACATGCTAGATACTTATACAAGAACCACAAGCAAGCAATGAAGTTAGATTCTGGCAGATATAGCTTTCTGTTGTTCTTATGGCACAACTTCATTGCAGTGAAGCAATAGATCTCCCCAGAGTGCACATAGGAAAAATGACTCTATATTGCAATCACAGACAAAGTGACATGCTAGGTAGCTCATATAGACTGAACCTCACAGTTGGCAACCACTGAAGGAATAGAGTACCATTTGCCTTCACATACAACATAGAATTTAAGCACCCCTTGACAATATAGATTCCTCTAAATAGGAAATGAGTAAAAGGAAAAGACCTCCACTGCCCAATTTTCTTTCTTTTTCCTTTGTTTGATGTCCTTTTACTTTAAGGAAGCAAATGTAGGTTCCTCTACCCATTACTATTTTGCCAAACTAAAGCCAGATAAAAACCCAAATCCTTTTTTTAAAAAACTGAGCATATTTGCTTTGTTACCTTCACTTTCTCTCGTCTCAAACAGCAGAAAAGACAATTTTCATCAAAAGACCAATCAGAGACACCTTCAGGCTCAAAGTCTGTGAAGAAGAAGAAGCCGTTACTTCATATCTATAAAGACCACAACTTGCTTATGGCTAAAGCTCATTCCCAATTCACTACATGATTTAGAAGACACTTGGTGAAATTCAGAAAACACAAATTTGAATTTTGTCATGCTTTTAATTCCACAATGTTACAAAAGTATAATATTTGCCTACACACAAAGCTGATTTTCCTAAGCAACACCAAAACCACTGCCAGTTATACAGAGATGAAGGCATGCTCATTAGTAATTTTAGCCAATATGAAACTAACTGTGAGCATTGCCTGGGGGGAGGGAAAAAGCACAAATCACCAAGGTAACATACATTTTCTAGAGGCAGAGCAGAGGTTGATTTTGTCATTAGAAATGCAGATCAAGGCAAAAAAAAGGGGGGGAGATGTAATACCTTTAAACAAACTCAGATCTTTTAATAATTCAGGTCCAAACAGCCCTTCTAGAATACTTTCAAATCCTAAAAGCAAAGAAAGAATAGTTAGCTTTCTCTATAATATATGTTACTGTCAGAATATTGAAAATGGTTCTTTATTCATCTGTTCCTTAGATGCTTTTATGCAATGAACTCAAGGCCTCCTGGTCAATCATGACAAATAAATTGGGGGAGGAGAAATGAGCCTTTATGTATATTATCTTTAAGAGTTACACTAAATAACTATATTAATAATTAAGAAATATATGGTAGAAAAAATGAAAATGTTTGTGTATCAATGCAAATAATTTTTCCACAAAAATCTACCACTCTTTTTAGGTTATAAAAATATGTATTTTTGCCTCATCTTATAGATCACATTTTAAAGCAAAGATTTTGAACTTCAAGCCTTAGTATTTCTTAGAAAAAGGAAAGCCACTAAGGTGCAAAGGAAACAGCAAAATACAGTGTGCCTGCATTGTGTATGAGCTTGTTTATTACAGAGAAGATTTTCTATGCCTTTTTAAAGAGTGCAGAGTGTTTGTCTTCTAAAAGATTCTACCACCACCACCCAATTATTGCCACCATTTGTAAATGTAAATTCATTGTTAATCTAAATCATGGCTTGCAGCTAAAGAGATAGCCAAACTAGCTACCCGTTACCCATACCATAAAGAAAGGAGCACATATATATACCAGGGACACATATATACCTGGGACATTTTAGGAGACATTTGTTAATTCTGCCAGAGAGTTTGCTCTGAAAAATAAGACTCATTTTTGGGATTTTGTAGTACAATTTCCACATATACTTAACAGTATTGTACTTGTATAATTTCTACTTTTACTACAATATTTGAAGTCAAGAAAGAAAATGATTTTTTTTCAAGAAAGCCTTGAAAAAAGCAATGAAACAGCTATTTTTGGAGCCACAATAGAGTGTAATATAGGGCAATTTTGCTTTAGAGATGCATGACTCTCTCTTTCTTCAACAAGCTTCACAACCCAGTGGTTGTACCTTCATTTATAAAGTATACACAAGAACCATATTGCAAATTTGTATGTGTTACAGTCATTAGCTATCAGATGTAAAACTCAGAACACACTTCTATCATTTAACGTTAGTAAGAGGTTAAAATTGCTACTGTGGATTGAAACTGCTAACAGAAACATCTCTTGATCAATGTTGATCAGCTAACAACAAATCTACCAGGGTAGACAAACACAGAAGAGACAAAAATACAGAGAAAAGAAGGAGGGAGTGTAATAAATATACATGTGTGTAATGCAATGAGCACACAATAAGCCAAAATACAATGGATGCAGCTGGACATCATTATCTTACAGTTACTCTGCTAACCTTTAAAAGTTACAAAGCAAAACTGACAGAAAGTCACAGTCAAGTCTGGGGAAACATCATTACTAAGAAAAAGTTAAAATTCTAAAAGACTATTCTAAAAGACTTATGCACATGTTTGCAACAGAGAACCGTTTGCTTTATTATTATAAAAAATAAAAGCCAGAGAAGAATCTGTGAAATGCAGAAATGGCATGCAGAGAAACGTCCCTTCCTGCAAATGGCAAATTATTTATTTTTAAAGAAAAGAGTGTTGAGGCACTCTTGCACATATGCATGTAACATGTAGTTATATAAATATTTGTATTTGCTTTACAACAACAATAACTTAATAATGTATTTTGCTGGTATATTTTAACTCTTTCCACAAGAGAATGGCTGTGTCTGCATATAACACTAAACCATGGTTTGTTTCAACCATGCTTTGTTCAACAAAGTATCTTTCTATTTTTCTATCTTTCTATCTATTTGCATTTATATATGAACTGTTTCACACATAAGCAAACAAGTCATGGCCTGTTTCTTCACCTGCTCTTGCCTCATGCCTTTATAACTTGGTGAGTGAGGTGGGGTGGCAAAACAAAGCATTGTTAAGTGAGGCTATAGAGTATGGACGTAATATCGAAGCATAGCCAGAAAAGAAACCATGGTTAGTCTGTTGGGTTGGGTCTGCAAGTTCAGCAAACCATAAAGGTAAAGGACCCCTGACAGTTAAGTGCAGTCGTGAATGACTCTGGGGTTGCGGCGCTCATCTCACTTTACTGGCCGAGGGAGCCGACGCTTGTCCGCAGACAGTTTTTCAGGGTCATGTGGCCAGCATGACTAAGCCGCTTATGGCAAAACCAGAGCAGTGCATGGAAATGCCATTTACCTTCCCGTCAGAACGGTACCTATTTATCTACTTGCACTTTGACGTGCTTTCGAACTGCTAGGTTGGAAGGAGCTGGGACCAAACAATGAGCGTTCACCCCGTCGCGGGGATTTGAACTGCCGACCTTCCAATCAGCAAGCCCTAGGCTCAGTGGTTTAGACCACAGCGCCATCCGTGTCAACAAACCATACCAAGGCTAAACAAAGCATGGCTTTACATTATATGCAAAGCAGGCCAAATATTATTAAGTTCGACTTATACACGCATGTAATTTTGTTCCTGTTCATTATCCATGGTGACGTCCTATGTTACTCTAAATTATAAAATATTTCCACTATTCAATAAAATCATTTTTGTTTATTTTCCTGCCTCAATCAATGGTTTTGTTAGCTTTGCCAATAGCCTGCTTTCCAATGCTTGCAATACCATTGTTCTAGCAAGATTTACTTACGTCTTCCAGTTTCTCACAATGATCTACAACTTGCTGGTGAGATAAACAGTAACATTTCTTTGTATGGCATAGTTTTGTTCTGCCCTTCAAATCACATGGTAGTTTGGGCATACATCTATGCATTGCCCTAATATTTTTACACACAGGAAAAAAATGCCAGAAATTGTTTTTCAAATTGCCAGAAATTGTTTTTTCCATCACATGTGTTAGAACATTGCCACTTCTAGGCATCCTCTGTAACACTGAGGGCTTGGCAAACTGTATATGTGGCGTATTTATAATGGTGTTACGGTAAATATCATCTGTGATTTTGACTGCATTCTAATCTTTGTTGACACAGATTTAAAGGGTCTTTTAGTCCATAGATTCCCATTGTTCTCCTTGTAGTTGATCCCCCATGTCTTTTCTCCCTATAGCCACTATACCTTCTGTTGTGTCGTAGATTATTTTACTATTCTTCTATATATGAAACCATCCCTATATGCTTAGTAGTTGTTCATATTCTATTACAAGTCTGATTGCATCTGCTCTTACTTTAATGTCAGAGGTAAAACTAATTTGTAGTCAGCTACTTTATATTTAACAATTGTTATTTAAATGGCTATCCTGGTTTTTTGTTTGTTCAGGTATATTAGTCTCCTAACCTGTATAGGCCCTTAACCTCTCTATCTTCATATTGCTGATTCTTTTCCTGATAGAATAACAGGCAACATAAAAATGGGATAAGCTGAAATATACCCAGGGATATTTTTAAAAACCATTCCCTTCCCCATAATTGTAATGTTAACAGGATAAATGGATAATGTATTCTGCTGATGTTATTTTATCCGTTATCTGGGATATCTATTGTTTTCCTACATCTCTTTCTGTACCATTGCTATCAGAAGCTTTAGTTAGTATGCTGCATCAGACCATCCAAAATTAGATATTCCTATATCACTTTATGTTTGTTTTTCTTCTAAATCTATGCACTCCCCTCCCTCAAAAATGTATACATGAAATCAGCAGCTTTTGCTAGGTTTTTAATTTCTCAAGAATATAAACTGGAAAAACTGGGTGGGGTAGACAGAAAGCTTGGATACAAAAGCATGTAATGTGTAGTTAGTATCTAAATGTTACTACTTAAGATTACAGTCAGTTTAGTTCTGTGCAAGGCTGAATGCTTTAAAAAACACACCCAAACCTCTTACAATATCTGTAATAGTAATTACCAATGATTCATGTCCCATGGAGTTTGCTATGAATGCAATAGAAAATTCACAATGTCTGCCAAGTGGGTTACACAGCCTGGACAGTATAGAATCCTACCTTGTTCACTGTTCTCACCAATGGTAATGCCACTTGATTTTTATTAATATTAAATATTAGATTTAACAGTTGCATAGCAACAGCAGAAGAGCTTATATGTAATACTTGTCACCAAAAACGCCAAATAAGGCAAGAATGAATATATTCAAAAATTATTTTAAAGGACTTGGCATAATGCAGCAGCAAACAACATGCAGGAAGAAGCAACACAGAAATGAAGGGCTATGACCTGCCTGTTACTTTCAATCACTTTAGAGTCCAGAAAAAGCATGTCCATGTATCGGCAACAAATACCCTGAAAAGATCTTGAAAAATGAGATCCTGCCTAGTTTTTACTAGGATTTGTCTCAATCACTCTTAGGAGATAGGAGAGAACATTCCTTTCTCCAATGATATTTTCCTTCCTTCCCTATTTGACAGATTATGTTTTCTCTATATTTCAAAGGAAAAGAATTAACATGGCTGTCTGTTAAATTCCCGTATCCATACCTTCATCATTCACATGCATGTTTGATCATTTACAGCTGCTGAAGAGAAGCAGTTGTACAACAGTGACAAGCATAAGAGCACAGGAATTGTAAGAGACTCAGGATGTTTCAATTTTGATATTTTTCACAACATTTCACAACTGATTTTATGTAAAAAGACTTGGCAATAAGAGGCCATTTACAATGAAAAACAGGCTTGCTGGTGTTTTCCTTCTACAAAAATGAGTAAGGGTATCTGGATTTTCTAAAAGTTTCCTCTACAAGAAATTAGCTATTATCTACTGTAGAAGGATTGGTTACTGTAAGAGTTGCTTGAAAGGAAACTGCATCTTGATACATGCATATACACACATTTTCTTGCACTTTGGATATAATAATAATAATAATAATAATAATAATAATAATAATAATAATAATTTATTTGTACCCAGCCACTCTGGGCGGCTTCCAACAAAGACTAAAAATACATTAAAATATCACAAATTAAAAACTTCCCTAAACAGGGCTGCCTTCAGATGTCTTCTAAATGTCAGGTAGTTGTTTATCTCTTTGACATCCGATGGGAAGGTG